CCTCAGTGTCTTCCTCTGCACAAGGAGGCTAAGAATGTGTCAGCCGGGGGTCAGTGCAGGAAACAGGAACCACTTGAGGCATTTTGAGCAGAAAGTGATGACGGAGGGTTAGGTGCTTGGGGGGTGGGGTGATGGCTGAGTACTAGAAGATCTGCCCCCCTGGGCCTAGGCAGGAAGGGAGGAGGCATCTGTAGGGTGGCACTGGCACTAGGGGCTCTGGCCACGCAGATAAGCCGAGATGGGGCGGGCAGGACGAGCGCCCTGGCCACTGCCACAGGGCGTGTGTGCTCGGCCCCCTGCCAGGGGTGCAGCCTGGCCCCTCCTGCGTGAGGGTCTCGGCCCAGAGCACGGTAAGCAGCCACCACTCTGGAAGGAATCACCAGTAAAGGCAGCGTTCGTGGGTGTCAGTCTGCACTGACCCTCACGCCGTCGTGGCCAGCCCTGGGGAGGATGTAGGAGACAGCACGGCCCTGCCCCGCAGCGGTGCTAAGACTCCAGGGGCACCAGGAACTGGACTCAGAGGGAAGTGGCCAATGCAAAGTGTGTCATGAAAAGACACGCGCAGAGCTCCGAGAACTGTGAGGACAGAGGCAGCTAAGTTGGGCGCCAGGGTGGGGCGTGGGAGGGGAGGTCAGTGCCAGGTCTCCAGCAGCACTGGTATCTGATAAGAGGCTTGGAGGGAAAACACTCTCACCCGCCCTGCACCTCTGGCCTGTACCACAGCTCTGTGTAAGTAAATGGATGGATGGATGAAAGAAAGAAAGAAAGAGAGAGAGAGAGAGACAGAAAAGGAAGGACCAGCACTTTGAAGTGGCTGTGCAACAAGCTGGAAGAGGACCCCCAGGGTGTCGGTTATGGTATTGTCGCCAGCTGGGCAGAAAATGACGGCCGCCTAGCTGTGGCCAAGGGAAAAGGCGGAGCAGGCTCAGGGAGTTTAGGAGCAGGGCGGCAGCGGGGAGCAACCTGAGTGACCACCAGGGTTTGGGAGCAGACACGCCCAGAGGGTGGGGCCCCCATGGACCCCTGGCACTTGATACCAGGGTGGTGCCCACCCAAAGGCTTGCTGCCCTGAGTAGGAGAAAAGCCCCTTCCCTTCCATCAGTGAAAGGCCTGTGTGCAAACCAGTTCCACCAACATTTATTTACTAAGCAGCTATTAAGTGCCAGGAACCAGGGAGGTTATCGCCTGCTCACGGAAGAGGGTCTTCAGTGGACGATTAGGGACTCCAGAGCAGGGCTGGGAGGCTGGAGGGGGGCAGGGAAACGCTATGGCCACATAGCCGACATCAGGCCCTCTGTCCTCTCCCAGCACTGGAGGACTGGACCCGGCCTCCAACTCCTCCCCACTGGAAGGTGCAGACGTCAGCAGGACCTGACGCAAGGCCCCTGCGCCCTCACCTCCGGAACAGCCATCCAGTCTGGACTCTTTCTGCTCCGCCAATTCTGTGTTCCTTTGCCTGTGAGATCCCAGACCCAGGGAGAGGCCCGCCTGCCCATGGACCCACAGGACTGGCGGTGGCCGTACAGGAGAGTCACTCCTCGGCATTCTCCCGAGGCTCGACACCGCCCATGCCAGCTAGGTAATGCTAACTCCTTACCTGCTCACTCCAGAGCAGTGCAAGTAAACTCTAACCTCTGAGCCCAGAATAGATGCCTGCTTGTTAGAAAGGTCAGCGGCCTGGAGCCACCGTAGGGGACTGTGTCCACTGGAAAATAATTAACATTCCACGCTCCTAGCTCCTCAATCTTCTAAGTTATTCCCATTTTGCAGATGGTGAACCGAGGTTCAGATAGGTTAAGGGATTTGCTTGTTTGGGGTCACACCCATGTGACCCCAAACAGGTGGCTGAACTGGAATCTAGTCAGGTCAGTCTGACATCACTTGCCTCTGTAGTGACCACCTGACCCCCAGCGCCCACTGCTCCCAAGGGCCTTGTGTCCCAGAGAGGTGTCCTCACATTTCTCCCTCGTGGTGGCCTGGCTGGACCTAAAAGTAGGAGCTCCCGGAAAGGGTGGGGTACACAGAGCCCAGGCCAGGCAGCTGAGAAACGCTGGGGAGACCTGCCTGGAGCCGGGGAGACCTGCCTGGAGCCGCGTGAGGTGAGGTCCCTGTTCTCCCCTCCCCAGCTGGGGCCCGCCTAGGCCTGCCCTTGTCCCCGGCTTGTTTCAGGCGCCCACAACTCCTGGGACTTACTATTCCTCCTCCTCAGCTGGGAGTGGCCGCAGAACTCCCCCTGCTCTGGGACACTCTCCAGTTCCTCAGCCTACGGGCCTGAGGCTCCCACCCTGGATTTAATTTCCACACCCCTAATGCTCTCAAATCCCCGCTGAGACATCAGGCGAGCTCATTCATGTGACTAGTGGTCCAGTAACCGTGGGGGGGGAGGGCAGGAGGATGGAGATGAGGAGAAGGGGGAGGGGAGGATGGAGATGAGAAGGGGGAGGGGAGGATGGAGATGAGAGGGGAGAATGGAGATGAGGAGAAGTGGGGGAGGGGAAGATAGAGATGAGGAGAAGGGGGAGGGGAGGATGGAGATGAGGAGAAGGGGGAGGGGAGGATGGAGATGAGGAGAAGTGGGGGAGGGGAGGATAGAGGTGAGGAGAAGGGGGAGGAGAGGATGGAGGTGAGGAGGGGAAGGGGAGGGTAGAGGGGAGGAGAAGGGGGAAAGGGGAGGATGGAGATGAAGAGACGCCACTGGACCTCAGGAAATGCATGTGCACGTGTAGGCAAAAATATTTTCTTTATACGGGGTTCGGTCCTATTCGGGTTTCAGGCACCCACGGGGTGGCGCGCTGCACCCCCACTGTCCTGAGGGAGGACTACTGAGCAGAGGGGGCGGACACACTGACCGATGGAGATGTCCTTTACAAATGTGTAAATCCTTTCCAAGAGTAATTTGTACTGTCTTCAGAGCTTCTCCTGTGCCTGCTGTTTCTCAAAACAATCCAATGCCAAAGAAGCCCAATTAGAGGGGGCACACGGCTGCCCTCGATCACCCCTCCCCAGGCGGGGTTCTGCACCCCGCAGCTTTCAGAAGGAAAAAGCACGCGGGCCCAAAGTGCAGTGAGTGTCGTTTCTCGGGTCACAAGACCGCTGCTGGCCAGCCACTGGGCACGTCGTGGTGACACGGGTCCCTGGGCAGCGCGGGCGGGCGGGCTGCCCGCGGAACTTGGCCCGCGTGGGAGATGCGCCACCGCTAGGCGGCTTGGAGCCCAGCCCCGGGGGAAGCCGCTGGGCGCCAGGAGGCGGGGCGAGGCCTCCGCCCGCAGCCTGGGGTGAGGCAAAGGCCTCCCTCTGGTCTTTCAGACCTGGGGCTCCCCTGGTGGGGAAGGGGCCAGTGCTCCCGGACTGGATGGCGCAGCCCCAGCCCTGGGGCAGAGGAACTGGCCTCCTGCGACCGACCGCCTCCCACCCTCCACTGAGTCCTGGGGAAACCCACCACCTATATACTGTCACACTCCAGGCTCTGCACCGGCCTCCCACACCCACCCCAAATAAACGAACACCCCCAGGCACCTAGCCCTGCATACTTATGCATGAACCCCTCGGGGCTGAGGCCGGCTGTTTCCAGCGGCCAGAGGGACCTCGCACTGACCTTCAAGGCTGGACCACACGGCAAACCCAGACGGGCCGGTGTGTGCCCTAAGGCACCGTCTCTCCCTCCCTCCTTCCAGGCGTCGGGATCCTCCCCAGGCGGCGCCCCGCGGGATGCGCCAGTGCGGGGCGCCCTCGTGTGGCCAGAACGACCTTGCAGCCTCGCGCGGGGAACCCGTGGCCCCCCCCCC